ATACTTAATGGACCTTATGCCGTTCATTACAATTTCTATGTTTTCCTAAATACATTCACACTGGTATTGGAGAAATGATTAAACATATACAAATTTAGGAAAATTCCGTTGTCTATGGCGACCACTGTACACTGTGCGCACTTTGTAGACGTTGACTTCGAGTTTAGCAGTCGGAAGGTTTCCAAATTATTCGGCAATTTAGAAACTTTTTTAAAGCCGAAAGATATCTTCTCTTTAAGTATAAAATTTAAAGAAGACGTAGTTTTCTACAAACGAGTACAATAAATAGTTTTTTCGTATATGTTTTTCATATAAAATATTTGAATTTATAAAAGGCGGAGTACATATGTTTTGTAAGTTGTCAGAAAGAAGCTCATTGAAAAGCTCACACCGTATATTGACTGAAATAACTTCAGAATAAACTACACGATAATCAGTATCACAACCTAAGTCAATGCCGATTAGCGAAAGCGCATCAATCTTTCGCATATGTCGGCATGTTTACGAATTCTGGCGTGTACTGTTTAAAATACTTTGTAAACTCCCATTTACGCATTCCGTTTAGTTACTAATAAGTGTATATGGTGTCGTCAGGTGCAATTGTAAACGTACCATTTTGTGCGCTTAAAGGGAAATTTTCTCCGGCCACGTAACTTTGTAATTATTTCCGGTGTTTGATTACGACGAGTTTCAGAGCCTTCTTGAAAAAGTGTTGAACACGACGATTTTCAGCGCCGCTTTCGATTTACTGTCCAAAAAGCAGGTCCTGCTCATCCTGTTAACCAAAATCTTCTTGGGAGTAACATATTTCTGTAAAGTATTTACGTAAATAGTGTGTTACTGGAGGTTGTTTATTATGCAGCTCCCTGTTTTAAAATCACCAAAACATGTTCATTAATTGCCAAGAAAAGCTGAACGGCTACAATAAAAACCACAAACTAATATGCCTTAAATCAAATAAAAAATATTTTTCATAACAAATTACTCTTAAAAAAGCCTTTTCATTAGATATTTCGAAGTCAAATCTCTGCGTACTTCACCTTTATGGGATTTCAATTCAAGTTAAAGATAGGAAAGTTTGACCGGTTTTTGACCTCCCTAAAATAAGAGGTACACGGTCTGCTAAAAATGAAAAAAGCGCGTTTTTCTGTGTAAAATGTAGCATTTTGTGGTATTATCGTTACTTGTAGGCCCCCTTATAAGATTGCAAACGCAAATCAAAGTGGCAGAATATTGGTTTATATTTTTCGAAAGCTAGGAATCTTTTGCTCGTTTCAATTCAAGTTTCCGTATTCATTCGTTCTCGGCCGTGGATGAAAAACAAACCGTAAATTTTTCGCGTATAGCGTGACAGAGAAAAGTGCCAGCACGCCGCGGGTGTGAATATATATACATATATATATATATATATATATGCGTGTTTATGGTCCTTAATTTCGGTGGGGTAAAATAAAACGGTAGCTCCAATTGACAAGAAACCTACCAGGTTTGCAGAAGAGCGTTTTTTAAAGTGCATCCGCTCTTATTTTTTTCCAAACACAGTGCAACTTCTCATACTTGCCTTTACCCGAGTTTCATGAAGGCAAAGCTAACTATTTCGTTCTCTGGAAAAAATATCTAGTTTGAAATTTTTCTGACTTATTTTAATTTTCTTTTATAGTGCGCCAAACATGAACAAGGCGTTTTAAATTCCTTGAATACCAAGAACAATTGAATTTGGCCTACGTTGGCCCCCATTTCCCCTCAATAAACTGATCTGAACTATTTTATGGTAAACAGCATTAAGCGACTTAAGTTAATTCAATGTACACACTCAAAAACATCAACTTTGTGTTAATGACGAAGACAAGGGAGAGCGTTATTGCAATCTCTGACGTATAAGCCCTCATCAGTTAGCTATAGACAATCGCACGTCTTTCTTTAGAAGTCCAGTGCGCTAGCTGCTGTGTCGCGGAGTTGTTGGCCCGTCGGCCGCGATCGGGTTTATTATAAAGGTCGCAGTAGAGCGCCCGAGGATTGTGTTAGGGAAAACACTCGTCTTGTACTGCGCTAGAACTCTCTTTTGAGTCCTCCCAGAGCCGCACAACGGTTAACAGGCAGTAGAACAACGCCAAGAATGAAAAGAGCGACTGAAATGGCCATTTCTGACGTGTAAGCCGTCACAAGCCAGCCCTACCCCCAAGACTGGAAGCGCCGGCCTTTGGGTTAGGCGGCTGATACCCGCACCGAATAGCCACGGACTCCTTGGCCGCTCTGCCTCTCATTTATGGAAGAGGATTTACTCAAACGGATGTCATAAGCAATCGATCTTAACTCCACCACGGCCAATAAGCCATAAATAGCTATTCTATGGTTGCCTGCCTTTGCTGCAATACTAATACTACTACAACCAATAAACAATCACTGATGCACCTCTGGAGTTGATTGCGCAGGGCTGTGCACGTCGACGGCAAATCCATGTATCGATCGATTGAGTTCCGATTCGTAGACTGGGCTTTAATTAATTTTCGGTTCGTCTTGTTACCGGTGTAAGCGAGTATATTAAGTGCTGCGAAGTTGGCCTCATAGCCCCTTTCGTAGGTGGGAGCAGAAGCAGCTTGACCTCTGTAATTACAGGGAGAACTTACTCGTAGGATGCGATTGCTCTTAATCCCAATCCAAAATATCGTGTATTTTTGGCATATTCGAATAATAAATTTTACTCTGTTGTTAAACGCTCGTTGGCGTCCGTTTTATTCGATCCTAGTAGTCACAAGGACGAAACTTGAGGAAAACTAACCAATCTTATCCGTTGAGCTACGAGGCTCCACCGGGCACTGTGAATGTAATCGCATGTCAATTTTAGATACATATAGCGCCTGCTAGCGGCTTTATACCTCTTTTTGATTCCTTAAGGTGTTGAAGGCAAAGCTTCATTCGCCAAATGTTAATTTCCTTTATTTAATCTCTAAATTGTTTTGAGCTGACTTCGAGCTAGTAGTAAGGCCTGCTTCTGCGTTTGTATAAACAGCATGCTGCAATTCTTTCTTGCTGTTGCTGTTACATGTTTTGGCTCGGCAATAGATTTGCGAGGAATAAGTATGCGTGCATACAATGGTGCGCTTAACGATCAGTTACGGAGCTGAGTCTTTCCATTGTGTCTTGGAGCTGGTTCTCCATCTCGCGACCAACATCCACAGCTGCCGGTTCACATCTAGGTTGGTGCCAGTTCTGGGGTCTGGCTGATGAGCGCTAATAAGCCAGAAATGGTCATTCGAGTCGTGTACTTCTGGCTTCAATAAATGTGTGTGTGTTAGCTGATAGACTTCGAGAACGAACCCCAAGGCACAACGGTGGGACGAGGGCTGTCCGTAACCGACCGGTGGGCGCCCTGCTGTCAATCTGCATATTCCCGATCTGAACTGGCAAGGCAACAACGGGCCCGTGATGCAGTTGTTAGAGCATTTTACTTCTAAGGTTCCAGGTTCGATCCCCGGGGTTGTCATTCCTAGGATTGGCTATGGCTTGCTGACAAGGGCTTACAAGCTAGCAGTGGCCACATTTCAGTCTCTCTTGTCTTTTTCAGTCATTTGTTTAACTTATGCATATATTATTCCTCCGTCCGCGACCGCTACGTTATACCTCCATTTTGTAACTTCCTCCCCCCACCCCCTCGTTGATTGCAGTTTGACCTTCGAGCCCGCGCAGTGGAAATAAAGCAGGTGGACCGTTCGGTCGGCACGCAAGCTGCGCTACGCCAGTCGACCAGTGAGAAACAAGCGAAGTTTGCAGAGGAATTTACACGGCTGATGCGAACTACCGACCACCGACGCAGACAACTGGAGAATCTGTGGGCTGGCACAGCATTTCGTCTGGCGCATGATGACCATCTGAAAATTTATGAACGAGTTGAGGCCATCAATGCAACGCTCAGTGTAAGTTCGCCCCATCCTGCTCTGTTTGTCTTATTCTGTATTTTTATATCCCCAGTATGAAACAACTGGATCTCATCTGCATCGCCAGTTTTTATGTCCCTGGGAGTAATAGGCTGAAGAAGACAAAGCCGGTTTTGATAGCAAGCCTTCATTCAGGATGGTACAGAGACAACATAATCCTTAGCTTCTCCAATACAGCCTATTTATTAGGCTCTGGCTTTCTAGAATACTTCTGGCCCAATAGCCTGCGACCGCTGTTCTGGTCTGCCGCTGCTCGATCGTTCCTTACGCTGTGTGAACGGCTGTATGCATTCGCTGTTTGCCTGTGTGCTTGACTCCAGGCTGTAAGCTCTGAGTGAATGGCCGCTCGCGTCCCTATAACACCTCCAGCTTTTGAAAAACGGACTTCATATTTATTCCAGCTTGGGTCAACGATGAGGTCTTTAAGCGGTTGTGTTTTTCTATGCCTCTCTCGGACGCCCGGGTCCGACACTTTACTCAGAGACCTCTTGACGTGATTAATAAAACATCCATCCGGACAGCCATCGGGTGCTGGTGGACCTCTCAGGGACTTGCATAAGTTGGCGGCGTTCTGTCCCATGTTCACGGCTCTTTGGGACAACGCGCTTACGTCTGTTTATGGCCCTTTGTCAGGCGTGACCTGGAGATGACAAGAGTAATGACTCACGTGTTGGGCCGTCCTAACACATAGCTAGGCAGGGATTCATAGTAGGGCCGCCCAATATGGTAATATTTGTTGCTCTTTTTGACCTTTAGGTTTCCTTTGTTAGCAAGAAGAAATTGTTCTTATAATTTCCATGGCTTATAGGGTTCCTTTTCTGACTTTTAGGAGTTGTCCTTATAGTTTTCGGGGTCTTCATGCTCTTTCCGCAAACTTGTTTTACCTACACGCTAAATCAGTTAAACAATGACAATTAACTTCACTGATTCTTTCTTATTCTGCCCTTTCCACGCATTAAGCAGGTTTTAACTGCTAATTAATCAAACATTAAACCTTTGACCACGAATTCCTTTGGTCACGTGGACTAGGAAACTTTGGCTATTGGGCGGCCCCTACGTTGCATCCCTACCCATATCTCGATTTACTATATTTACCAAGAAATATAACTTAAAAAACAAATAAGTCCTTTGAGAAAAGCAACAACCATTATTTCATCCATTTTTGACGTTGTTCAGACGTATAGTAAATGCTCAAGCATTCCAAGTATTAATGCGTCCACGCTATCAAGTCTGGTTTGTCGGCTTAAAAACGATGGGCTCAGTTGGGATATTCATTGTTCTGCAACCAAATTTCAATATATTTCATTCACGTGAGGACACCGGCTTTTTAAAGAATTCCCTTCCGACCGCCTACGAAAGCACATTCTGTAAAAAAGAGTTATTTACCTTTTGGGAGTTAATTAATTCCTTTTTATAGACTTATATTCAGCAAAATTTTTGTTTTTCTCAACTTGAGGAAAAGGGTATCTTTTGGGTTTGAGAAACGTGATAAATTGCCAAAGAATTTTGAACGCTATCAGCCGTTAAACGTGCATTCAAGATTTCCAAAATAAATGTTGTATGCATTCTGACTAGGAAAAATCATACATTCATCTATATTATGATGAAGGAGTCACATAGTGCTCACAATATTGTGCAAAGAATGTGGATCGTGTTGTGCACTTTATAGGCAATATTAATAAATTGACGGGTTCGCGGTGCTTTGAATGAACATTTTACGTTCGTAAAATATGGGTAGGGAACTGTGTAACTCTAGGAGCCAGATTTTACAAAGGCAAAGCTTGGTTAACCACATGCTCCAACTGTTTACTTAGGTCAGGCTTTGACCGCCGTATGTAGGCTGCTTCCAGGTAGGGGAAGGTACGAGTTGTTCGTGTTCGAAAAAGTACTCGGAAGGAAGTTTTAGCAAATAATCTGTTTGAACTAACAACTAGGCAAGGGCTCCTTAGCTCTGGCTGTCAATTGCCTTTGCGTTCGCCCTATGTTCTTGCATCCCCAAGTGCATGCAAATTCATAAGCACAATTGGAAGTGGCGTGGAATGGCAAGGCATCCTCCGAAGTAGGATTTGGTTAAGTCCTTAGTTGGAGAGCAAATATGTTCTCGGCAGCATACTGAATTCTATTAATGGCGTTAAGGAAGCGTATTTTGATGGCTTTAAGAATGTTTTGGCCCCTAAATGGCAAGGAAACGAAAGCAGGCTTTTTTTGGAGCTAACTGTTCCGTCCCTTTGGGGTCGTAAGGGTTGAATATACTTGTCAATAAACTGTGCTGGATATCCACGCTTCAGTAAGGTATTCTTGAGCCTTTTGGATAGCGAGTTGTTCCTCCACCTACGTATGTATATATTAATTCTTCGCTTAATTTGCCCACCCCTCCTCCCCCCCCCGTGTGTTACACAGAATGCGCGCAAGCAGCTGGAGAAGCTCTGGGAGGACGACAAGACCGAATGGATCCGCCTGGAAAATCTTGAACACACCATGCTGGATGCCGATTTCGAGCCGGAAGACAAGGCAAGCGAGGAGGAGTTTGAGTATACCCTGCAGGAACCTCAACTCCAGGTACGTTTTTGCCTCTGTCATGCATTTTCTTGGAGGTTAAACGATGGTTATGGAAAGCGTCACTGGTAGTTGTGGGTTATGTTACCCACCAGTAATTCCAGGATCGTCTAAAACGAAATGGTGATATCAGGGGTTTTATGTGTGGAGCCCACTGCGGGGAAGCAGTGAACTGTGTTCACGAAATTATACATTTGTGTTATAGAAGTATTCTGTCAAAGACAGGCACTTAAGTAAAGCTATTTCTGGCTTTTTGGCCGTCGTCAGCTAGGGGTAACCATCTCTAGTGTAGCCGCTGAGATTGCTGCCACACTCGAATTTGTAACTCGCGTCTCGCTGGTCAGAGGCAAACGTCCTAACCATTGAGCCACGAATTCGCTTTATTCTTGTAGATCGCTAGAAGGCAACTGAATCGAATGCGATAGTGCACAAATAAACAAAATGCAACTCCCAATAAACACAAGGCTTTCAACCAGCAAACACTTGAGGGAAAGTACGCTTTTTTGAAGGTGGCATCCGAAATATTCAACGAATAATGGTTCCACTCAGTGAGACCGTCGGTTAACTTAATGAACCACTCAAAAATCTGGAGGCTTACATAAAATGCGTCTCTTTTATGCAGATAGGTCCGCTCGCAGCTTCTGGATTTCCTTTTCTTTACACGTGAGCCATCGTGCTAGGAATAGCCGTACCGATATGCCCATTATGAAGATAAAGGCTTCTTTGGGAAGATTGAAACTTTGTTGTGTAAATTTTTGAGGAAGTTTCCCCCGCTCTTCTTCAGGCCCCAGAAAATGTACAAAAAACAATTAAAATGTTAAACGTTCAAAAAATCAATATTCATCTTATGTCCTGGCAGGATTTTCGGTCTGCTCTGGTATGTGTTACATGAATTTCGTCCTTCTGCTGTAGGTGGTGGCGCGCATTGAACTTGGCCTTAGGGTAATTATAGCTGGCGTCTAAATCGATATGCCTGTTTATGCATGCCTCGTCTAAGTGCATTGCTTCTAGTAATTTACGGTCTTTTCTAGTTGTATAAGTGCCAACAATCCGTGTGTCCTCCCATGCGAATTTGTGGCCGGTTTCCAGTGTGCGCAGGGCCACCTGGGATAAATGTTCTCGTCTTCTGACCGCTGATCTATGTTGGTGTATGCGGGTTGAGGCGCATTTCCCAGTTTGGCCACAATGAACGGCATCATAACTGGAACATGGGATCTTATAGACAACCCCTTTTCTTTCAAGATAGTCAACCCTGTCCTTAAGGTGTACAAGCTGTGGTCGTGTTTCAATGCATAAAATGACAAGGATCCAAAGGAAAAGAAAAGGCCAACGAGGTATGGAAAACACTAAACTGGCGAACTCTCCCATACATAAGAATATATCTGAGCTTGTAGAACGACAAGTAAGAAAACATCAGATACAAGTGACACACCAACCCGCAACCACCCTACGCTCATAGCCGTATGCATATGCCCATGTTTCGGAAGCTTCGATACATAGTTCGGAAAGAAATCGCGGCCGTGAAGGGGGTGAGCAACCTCGTCAAGAATGGGATCAGCAAATTGCTTGACCGCCGCAAAACACCGCTTTGGGCAGAATGAAACCTTTGCTGCTGTGCTGCCTAATCAGCGAATCCTACTCAAATTTCACATTCCTATTTGCTTTTACAGCGCTCAGGGGCATAATATATTTTTTACCCAATTTTGTGAGTAAGGCAGGCTCTTTTTTCTAAATAAAGAAACCAGGCTGTGTTTAATGTGGCTGCCACAAGATATGACAGGCGCGTCGCGGACACCTTGCGTCTTTCGGGAGGGAGAGAAGGGGGGGAGCTAGCTGTTGCCTGAATCTACTGATTTTTACTGCAGCCTTTTCCTCCTTCTCCTGCCAACGATCCCCTAGTTACCGAGCTGCCTTTGTTTTAATCTCTCCCGGTGTTTGGCGCTGGTGTGTGGGCGGGCTGCTGTCGCCCTGACAATCTACTGTGTGTTTGTGTAGTTGTGTTAAAGGAAAATCAAATCTGTCCCCAGCGTGAGTGTGGAAGAAGCCGTCGACTGGGTCGCAGACAGCCGTC